ATGTCATTTTTGCTTTTTGATGATTTGCTATCCATGCTACTTTGGATTTTCATTTTTAATTGAGACGTTGTTAATGTTTATTTGAATTTTTATCTTTCATCGTTATATTTGTATTTGCTTCTCCACTTTTATTTGCACGTGGTGTTTGATTATATAATTAAATGATAGTAGTTGAATCAGTAATTCTTCTGTGTTAGCTATATGAATGCAGACAACAAAAGATGCATAAGGAGAATTACAACTATAGTATGTTTGATGTATGGGCATTATAACTCATACATAACAAGCTCTCATTGCATGGCATCCTCGTACATTGGCGACAAGTGGGTTAGGGAGTTGGTTGTAGGCCACTCAACAAGATTCACCAATATGTTCTGTATGACTCAACTCGTATTCATCGATCTCTTGGAGGAACTACATAGGAATCTTGGACTTTATAGCTCCTCCACAATGACTTCATGAGAAGTGTTAGCAATAACCCTCTAAACATTATCACGAAATGAATCCACGAGAGAAGTCATGGAAAAATTATTTGAAATAATATGTAGGTATTTTTCAGTTGGGTTAAATGCATTAGTCAATTTTTCATCACAAGTTAACAAAACAACTTACCCAACATTTGAAAGAACACCCATGGAGATGTCACATGATTTTCAGGTAATTTTACTTATTTACTATAGTTAACTATTGAATACAATAATTTATTTAACCTTGTTTAATGCTTTAGAACTGTATTAGAGAATTCAATGGAATATATATGGAAACACGTGTTCAAAATAATGAAAATATCTCATTCATCGGGCGATGCGGTTCACCAGCGCAGGCTGTCATGGTAGTATATGAGTTCAATATGTACCACACTTTTGTCATTGCCAACACTGATATGATAATCTGATTTTTAAATTTGTAACATGAATTAAGAAATACAACTTTCCTCATCCACCTCAGGTTTGTTTGGGATCTAACTACTAAGATATTGTTCTCACTACAATACTCATTGTATTAATGTCAAGTAAATATTATTTAGTTGATGTTGGATATCTGTTACAAAGAAGGTATATGAAGCCCTATCCTGATATAAAATATAATATACATGACTTTGAGAGATCTAACAATATAACTCGGGGCAAAAGAGAAATGTTCAACAAGAGACACTCCTCTTTACACGGTGTCATTGAAGGGCATTTGAAGTGTGAAAGAAGAAATGGGTCATACTGTGATATGCCTACACATTTATTTCTCAAACAAGTGCAGATTGTGCTCGCCACAATGGTTCTTCAAAATTATATTCGGTGGCATTCTTCTCGTAACGACATATACTTTAATATGACTGATGAAGACCATTCACATGTCCTTGGTGAGGCATATGAATATTGTGTTGGAAAATATTTATCATAGGACGAAATTGATGTTCCCGAGATATGCACTCAAGATGGGGAAGGTTCAAGCGAGAAGGTTGAGTTGAGAGAAAGAACTACAGATGTTATAGTTCGAGGCTGAATGAAGTGAACATCTATTTTTATTGTTATTTTATTTGTAATGTGTGTTGAAAATATTTACTGTTTATTGCATCAGTCATTTATACAAGTCATTTATATTTCTTTTTCTTATGCATTTAATGTTTATCGTGTCGATATTCTATACAAGTATATTTTTTCCTTATGCATGAATTATTTCCCACTTGGATGGTCGATGAGGCAACCGTGGGTAATAAATGTATTATAAATATTGCAATTTTTTGGCAGGTGTTGGATGTCTATGATGAGACATTCGACCTTAAGGTTTTTTCTAGATGGCCTATAAATTGTTATTAGTTCTTGTCACATATCAAATCCTAATGAAGGCAACCAAGTTTCTCACCTCTTTTCAACGTTATGGTTTTTTAGGCTCTTCTAAACGACATTTTTTTTGGGATATGTATATGTGCCACACACAATCTCAGTATTACTTGGGTTAAGAACAACCAACCTCTTTTTTATAAGATCAACTGTTTTCTTGTAGTGACAAATTTGTTGGTTTAAATATTGTGTTCTCTGAGACCTAACTGTCGCATAAAATTTAATTGATTGCTTTTATTATTGATTTTTACTAATGTTTGATCAAAGGGTACGTGCTTTGTGTTTTTGAGTCTTCGGGAAAGTTGAGCTTGAGGATTTTAGGTATCTCCAGAGCATTGTACTGCTACTATTAACAATAATGTTCTCTGCTTACTTCGCAACAACTACATAACTACGAGAGACAGTTTTAGAGGTGTCCAAGGAAATGAATTGAATAATGTTACCTCTTTAGGTAGGCAGATGGGTTGGAGGATTTCATCGTCAAGAGTAATCGGGCAAGAAGAGTTTCCCTGGAGTACAGCTTATCTCGTGACATACATCAACTGCATTTTAAAAATAATATTATCATATTTTTAATTATTATTTTAATAGTTTTTTTTTAATTTTGATAGTCACGCTACTCACTGTTTAGTGGGGTGTCTATTTTTATTTTGTAATATTTGAACTGAATATTTGTCTTCAAGTATGTAATGTGTTAGTATGAATAGCTCTGTTGAAAGCAACTTTACAAAACGGGCTGAATTGTCAGTTTTTCATAAACACTTGCAACACAGTTGTTTTAAAACTGCAAAAAACAAACAAACCTTCAACTTATCCGCAACAGCTTTCTGCCACAGTTATTGCGCAACAGCTTTTAAATAAGTTGTATTTGTCTCAAACAAACCCTTAATTAGTGTGAAACCATTTTATTTTGTTGCATGCATAATAACTTCTTGATCATACAAGCATTGATCATCTAATGATTCGAGGGGTCACATTTTCTTATTTTTCTCTCATCAATGTTTTATTACTCCAAGTCATCATAAATATAATTTATCTTAGTGGAAGCAATATCTCTCATTTATTGAACTTCATAATATGTTGTGTGCTACCTATGTGTTTTATTTCTTTCCTTAACTCTCTCATATTGAAAATACATTATAGAGAGAGAGAGAGAGAGAGAGAGAGAGAGAGAGAGAGAGAGAGAGAGAGAGAGAGAGAGAGAGAGAGAGAGAGAGAGAGAGAGAGAGAGAGAGAGAGAGAGAGAGAGAGAGAGAGAGAGAGATTTTTATCATAAAATGCATCTTCCAAATCGAGAGATTTATGAAAATAATTAATACTGTGTAATTTTACATCATTGAATAATAGAACTTAATTTAATTACAAAAGTTGACGAAAGAATCTCTTAAATTAAATTTATTGGGTTAAAATAAATTGAATGGCTGAGGCAGCATCTATAAAATTTCAAAAAAATATCAAGCTGAACTCAGCATTGTTCAAATTGCATTTCCATCCTTATATATTATATATTGGCCTGAAATTATCTTCATAATATAAAAATCATTATTTTATTTCAGGTTAGGTTTTAATTGAAGGGCCCAATCTTAAAATCTTCTCAGCCGCTCATATTGGATTGAAAGTGAGTACATCTCCATCAATGCGACTCATGAAAGAATTAGCTATTTATTATCTTAGCAGAAAAAAATATTTATTTATTTATTTACTCAATTATTGCACTAAATTAAGAGTGTAAATGTGGAGAAAATAATACGTCCAGACAGCCACATCAGCCGGCATAGACATGTATGACAAAGTAGAGCCCGACAGTTGGCCATCCAGACATACGATGTCCCGATAAAAATTTTCTCAAATGTATAGGTGCTGAACTCAGATCCCAAGGCGGTACAACCTAACTATTTTGGGTGTCATAAATGGGCCTAATTATTAGGTGCGGAGAGCGCACACAGCACGTAATAATCGCTCCATAAATGGATATATATCTGTTTTGCACTTTTATATATATATACATGCATGCATACATACATACATACATACATACAATAAGAATAGAAAAAATAAGAAAAAAATAATTTTTTTTAATTAAATCGATCAAAGTTATAATCACAGCCCAACAAAGAAATATCATGACACAGACTGAAGAAAAAATGGAAGTAGCCCACAATGAAAATAAAATTATATAAAATCCAAAAAATAATAATAACCAATACATAAATTAAAAATATCACAAAAATATCTTAATGCTGGATAAAATGCTGCAGTGGCAACCCATCCTCCAAACACATTTTTTAGACCTACCATAAAAAAAATATCAACAAGTGATCCCCTATTAAAGCCTAAATGGCAGAGTAATTTGACATACAATATGAGAGCAATTGAAAGGAGTGATTTGACATATATGCTTGTAAGATAATCAATATCATACAGGGATTGCAATGGGAACAATATACAATGATAATATACTGTCATTAACTCATTAGAGTTGCCCTAATGCATATTACCCAATTCTTAATGCGTTAACTAAAACCTGAACCATCATGATCACATTTATAGCACTTTTGAGTCATAAAGATGCATGAAAATGCATGTTTCACTAAAATAAATAATAATGATAATTGTATTTTTAATGTTGTCTTAAAATGAGTTATGCATATAGATAAGAAATTTTAACTTTAAGATAGGTAAATACATAAGAATTGGGTGGTATAAATGATGTAATTGTAAGCATAAAACAATTGTAAAACCTTTCTTACAACTAACAAATTGATATCTCATAAAAATTTATGAAAAATTGAAGAAAAATTAAGCATAAAACATTCCCTAAAGAACAAAACTACAATGAAAATTATCCAAAATATACCTTAAAAGCATTTGCCAACATCTAAAACTCGAGCATTGACAATGCACAAGACAATGAGGAACCATAGACTCTAAACACTTCTCCTGCTTACTAATAACAAAAACAAAAAGCACACTACGATACAAAGCAACAGCCTCGGGTGCAACAAGAGATGACTTCCTAAATGTTCAAGCCAACTAAATTGCATAAGAACTATTCCTACTCCCGTAATGCAAAATCTCATAAGAAAAGAAATTCACCGAGATTGATGCTCATGCAAGTATGAGACCGAAAGTAATTCTGCGATTTACTGTAGTCATGGTAGATATGCAAAAGTAAATTTGATTATGCTACAATGCAGCTTTCATGTTTTAATGTTCAGTATTGTCCTATCACCGACAAATACATTCATACCAGCAGCTGCAGAAAGACCTAAAGTACTTCATCAACTCACACCAATATCCACAAGAAAAGCTACAGATACAATCAGGCTTTAAGCAATTCCCCAATCCTTTAATTGCGCAACACAATGCTCCCTCATCAGATAACAAGCAATCGAGTTTTTGTGTTTTTATGTCCGTTGCCTCACCCTCCGACCGTTGGAATCTCCACCATCGGACAGCTGGGCCCAAACGCTACGACTCTTCCCGCCGCTGCTGCATTCCTCTTCACACCCGGCGATGATCTTCAGAAGCTCAGACTGCAGCGAGGGGCAATTCTCTTTTAGATATTCAAACCCACTTGAGCGCATAACAGCTGCAGGTTATAAATAAGAAGATTTGAAAATTTTTTTTTGAGATACTTCTGATGCCACCAGCAGATTGACGCTAAATTGTGCTTCGTTAATCACTTCGAAAGCATTACAATGTTTTGAAATATTCTGTTAATATTTTGATTAGCATTAGACGACCATATAAATTATATCAGAATGGTTGGAATAGAAAATAAAAAAGGGGCAATTACTACAAGTACAAGTAGAAACCATCGTGCAAATGATAATCTGCTTAAATAGTAAGGTTCTAAGGGTCCAGATAAAAACAGCCAGAAAAAACATTTCCAAAAAGATATGGAACAGCCCTAAAAAAAACTGCCAAGTTGTAGCTATGTGAATTCAATTAAAAAAATCATATTACAGTTATTTATCCATGTTCTTTCATACCTACTGGCAGCAGGGACAAGAAGGATGAAGATTTTCTCCTTAACTTGCTCATTTACCGTTGAAGGCAAAAGAGTGATAAAAATGTGAACTGATAACCACCTATATATTCACAAAACTTTGATGTTAAATCGAGCTTGACTCAGGTGAAAAAAAAATCATTTTTAGTTTAAGACAGATTTAACTCTGATGCCACCTATATACGCTTTACCTAGTCTATTTTAAAATAGGTGCCCAGGATTCATTGGAATTATGCTTTGAAAATGAACATCATCGAAGTAAGACATTTGAGGTGTTGGTTTGCGCTAACACATTTCTTCTTCACCCCTTTCTTGCATTATCTTGGGCTATTCAAGAATTTCATGCTAAATTAACATTTAAATCATTAATAAAAACTTGACTAACCTTTATAAAAATATACTTAAATATCATCATTAAAATCTACTTCATATATCTTATTTTTAATTAATAAAAGAACGACTAAATAGAACAAATCTATCCTAATAATTAATTAGAAACTAATTAAATTAATCATCAATCAATATAATCAATAAATTATTTAATCATTCTACAATTATTAACAAGTAATTAATCACCAAGTTTCCCCATCAATCCGGTAATTTAATATACTTATTTCACGCAAAAGTAATATTCTTATCATTAATTAATGCAAACATAATCATTCATTTTAAAATTTTAATTAATTACTGATTGACCATTTGAATTATTGATCTTACAAATAATTATTAAATAAATTCTTACCTGATTAATCCATAAATTAATCATTCTATAAATAATTAATTAATCAAATTAACAAATCTATAAATAATTTGTTAATATAATATTAATTAATCACTAATTGGCTTCGTTGATTTAATTAGTAATGCCAATTCAATATCCTAATTATCAATTAATGCATAATTAACATCATTTAATAATCTTACAACCACAATTTAATTAATTATACCAATTCAAACTTAATTATGGACTAAATACTAATCAATTAGACTAACTACTAATTGTTCAATTTCACTATAAGAAAGTTCTAATAAAACTTAATCACCACTAAATACAAAAATTTTCTAAATAACTTGTAAAATCCTATTATTATTATACACAAAACACTAAGAAATATTAAGAATGATTAAAGTCAACAGTGACGTAACTGAGAAGACATGCTGTATTAAAGTTGACATCTCTTGAAGCTCCGATAGGAATGAATCGAGAAGGACTCAGGTCTATTGCGAAATGTTGTTTTAAGGCCAAAGCCACGCAGCACCATATCAGTATAATAAGTTATCTACAGATGAACTTAGGCATCATGTGATTCTACTTATATTATATTGCTTAAATTTAAAAAAAATTGGTCTATATAGGAAATGAGATTAGAAAATCCGGAGTTTGCACATGCGTCTTCCTTATGTCTTCATAAGCACATGGATTGATTATGGAGCCAACCATACTTTTATGCAGAATATAAAATATATCATTAGCATGGTTGTATTAAACGAAGCCTTCAATACTCAAAATTTTGAAACAACTGGCACAAACATAATTGAAATGCAGAAGGAATACTATATGGTGCTTTGATAAATACTTTCTGCAAATGATATACCAATAAATGGTGGCACATCCACTTAAATTGGTAGACAAAATGCTCAGAAATAAAAGGAACTGTTAGTTGAATAAAAATTGCATATAAGATATGTAGTTATAATGGGTATGTCGCTAACAATTGTTAGCGCTGCAAACAAACCAAGACAAACTATGCCTGATACTGTTTGCGCTCAAGTTCTTTTATCAAAAGCTTGTCCAAGGTCAGCTCAAACTTGAAGTGAGCTTTGTGATATTCTTCAAGCTCAGTTCACTAACATTCATGCTTGTTTGACTTTGATTTGAGCTAGGCTGGAGCTTTAATTCAAGTTGTGATTTTCAAGCTTTAAACAAGCATTTCATTTGAAATTATAAATGAGCCCTATCAAGTCAAGTTTAAAAAATAATTTTAATTTAACAAGCTTTTAAAAAAAGCCAAAAATCCCATAATGTAATATCCATGACCGTGAATTATATTTAATTGGCTAAAGCCACAATTAACTTGTCGAATGCTCGGTTCACTTATAGCCTGACAATTATCATTTGATATCATTAAAAAATAAGAATATTTTTAAGTATGATAGGTTAAGTATCTGGCTATAGTACAAAAAAAAAAGAGAGATAGAAATGGAAATATAACTTCTAAAGTTACAAATAAATTATTAAAAGTAGAGAAGTATCTAGGGAGTTTTATGAAAATAAAATTTTATATTTTAAAAAACCACAATTTCATGAACTATGTTGTATGGATTTAAATTTTTGACAATAAAAACTCATTGATATGCTAATTAAGCATGAGAAAATAAAAATATTGAGATGGCTATGTGACGAAGAAAAAACAAAATTAGGAAATAATTACATCAGAGACAGATTTGAGTGACATCTAATTAAGACAAGATGATCAAAGTAGACTTTCACGGTTTGAAAAAACACAATGAAAGATAGAATATAATATTAGATGAGTTGATAAGACCAATATAGATATTTAAAATAAATGATAAACCTAAGCCTTATGATTAGAAGTTCTTTAAAATAATTGAGAAGAATAAATTCAACACCTCAAAAAACCCTTAATGAGAATTTTTATCATCGACGATAAACGGTTGGGGTAAAGCTAATGACGCTGAAGATTATTTCATGCTAAGATTGTAAGCACCAATATAATAACATCTACAAATCAAGGAGAGAGGTTAGCCTATTAATACAATTGCGTAAAAAGAAGAATCTGATGAAGATTGCTTTAATGCCATCATCTTGTTGTTCATCAGCTTGGCCAATGACCTCCATCAACATCCACAAGGGGTTGAGTGAAATTGTATAAGAAACCATGAAGTGTTTTGCCCATACTTGCTATTGCACAAGTGCCTCAAGGAAACCTTTCCAAAGAGGAGCAACATTTTAGTCTTATGCAATTTGTTAAAATTATTTCTTGCAATTGATGTGGGATGCGGAATTTCCAACGATACCACGGCTTCCGCAACTTGCAGCACCCGGGAGGGTGGGAATAGCTGCAAAAGCTGCTTTCCCCTATGTTTTTCTTCCTTTGTTTCTTGTCCTTTCCGATTTCTCTAATTTCTAATTAGATATTTGCTATGAGAGGACCTTTATATATGTGTATTGGGTGGTTTAGATCTTGAGTTTACTAAGAATATGATTTTGAAAGACATCTATCTAATTTTTCTCTTTGAAGTTTTGTATCATCTTCCTTCTACAAGTTGTGCATTAGTATCTTGGAGGGATGAGGTCATCTATCAGTAATGTGATTCAGCTGCAGCCTTATTGGTAACTACTGCAGGCCCTGAAATTGAATGCGAAGAAACGTTACCAGATGACCGCCACACCTTACAGGTAGAGTTCAATGACAGGATCAGGAGGCAAAAATACTACCAATGAGGCACCCAAGCTGGCACCGCCAGAGAAGTGGAGAACAGGTGGAGATTGCCAGTACTCCTAAATCCATCCTACTATCCTAGCAAGGAAGTGCTTCAAATGTCACGATTTTGGGTAAATTAAGTCTAATTTCCAAATAGAATGGTGATACCTTTCACTAAACATGGGTGTAATGGAGGAGGCAGAGAGAGTAGGCCCAAAGGAGAAGAATGAAGAAGAATACCAACTGCTTGCAGATGAGGGAGTGATGCTAGTAATCTGACGGGTCCTTCTGACTGAGCTCAAATAAGAACAACAGTGGTTCCACCACAATATATTAGTATTCATTGCATCGTGAGGAAAAATGTGTGTAGCCTCATTATAGATGGAGACAATTCTGAAAATGTGGCAGTTACATATATGATAAATAAATTGAGTCTTATTACTCGGAAACATTTTCAAACATATTCTCTGTAATAGTTGAAAGAAAATAAGATCATAGTTGACAAAAAGTATCTCAAAGTGTTTTCTATGGTAGACAAGCTACAGGATCAAGTTTGGTGTGATATTGTGCCTATGGATGTGTATCATATTCTTTTAGGCCGACTATGGCAAAATGTCAGGTACATTTCTTAATGGCTGCAAAAAACACCTACCCACTTATCAATGACAAAAAGCATATTGTACTTTTGCCATTGGATACTCCAATCGATACAAGAACTTTAGTCGCTCGTACCACATTCTTACATGCTATAAGACAGGTTAGTGGCTCGTGCCACAATTTTATATGCTATAAGAAAGGCACCAATAAAATTAGCCTTTGTGATGCTACAAGCTAGTGTCATTGAATCTGACGCAGTGCGACCGTCACTAGAGGAGTTTTAGGATTCTCTTACAATCTGTTTACCCTCTAGGTTGCCACTATTGAGAGGGACCCATCATGATATCATTTTAGACAGAGTTGAGAATGTTTTAGGCTATTTTTGAAATTCTCACAGGTCATTTCAACAGCGTCATCACCAATAGATGGTAAAATATGAGTGGTTAATCACTAATTTGAAAATATGTATAGGTTTTTATGGAAAAAAACATCAGACAATGAGATCTAGATGTTTCTGAAAATAAGGGTGAAGCCTCT